CTTCTTACGTTGGAAATTATTGTAATTGGACTTAGTTGTGAAGCTCGTCACTACTTTTAGTTCTTTATTTAGTATTGTTACTTACTGAATTAGTTGTACTCATACTTCACTCTGCACTTCGTGTGCAGATCCAGGTATTCCCGGATACAGTGGGTGTTGATTTCTTTGCGCAGTTGATCTTCTGGAGATTCCACTGTAGCTGCCGATGTTTTACAGACCTTGCCTCTCCTTCCCTATCTGAGAGATATTTCTTGCTAGTAAAGACCACAGATTCAGTAGAAGATTATGCCAAGTTGTACATTCAAGAAATTGTCTGATTGCGCGGGACTCCGTTGTCCATCATTTTAGACCGTGGTGCTCAGTTTAAGAAAAACTTTCAAAAGTCCTTTCAGAAAGGATTAGGCACAAGTTTTCCATCCTCAGAAAGATGTCCAGGCAGAGCGCATTATTTAGACACTTGAGGATATATCCTTGATTTTAAAGGTAATTGGGATGATCACATACCTCTCATTGAGTTTTCTAATAATAAAACCTACCATTCTAGTATCAAGATGGCACCGTGCGAGACTCTGTATAGGCGAAGGTGTAGATCGCCAATTGGTTGGTTCAAACTTGGTGAAGCAGAGTTGTTGGGACCAAATTTGGTCTATCAGACTATAGAGAAAGTCAAGTTGATTCAAGAGCATTTGAAGACGACTCAGAGCCGCTAAAAATCATATTCGGACGTGCGGCATAGAGACATAGAGTTTCAAGTTGATAATTGGGTGTTTATGAAAGTTTTGCCTATGAAGGTGTTATAACATTTGGGAAGAAACGAAAGCTTAGTCCCAGATATATCGAGCCGTATAGGATCCTACTAAGGATCGGTCAAGTAGCTTATGAGTTAGAGTTGCCACCAGAATTGGCGGTTGTACACCCAATATTTCACGTGTCATGTTATAACATTCAAATTTCCAGTATTCAGCTACTCATGTAAATTTAGTACTCAGATACTCATGTCAGTCCAGTATGCAGATATTCATGCCAACTTAGTACTTAGATATTGATTTCAGTTCAATACTCAAATATTCGTGCCAGTTCAGTATTCATATATACATGTTAGTTCAGTATTCACGTATCCATGACAGACCAGTATTCATGTATATGTTTCATGTTGTGCGCATTATGATGCTCTATGAGGCTTGAGTGATGCTATGATAGCTGGCGGGTGTTTTGGAGAAATGTTGAAGGTAACTAACCTTTTCATTCAAACCTTATATTATAATCTCCACGTCCTTCAATATTCAGTTAATGCAGTAGTCATTCAGTTCAGTATCTTAGCAGTTTTGTAATCATGTATTCATTCAGTTTAGTATGCAAGTGATCATGAAAGTTCATGTTTCCACTAGACTGGTTTAAGGTCCAGAGTTAGCCGAAGTTACAGTCAGGACAATCATTCGAGGACGAATGATCCCAAGGGGGAGATAATGTAACACTATGAAAATTCACACTAGGTATGGACATGTTAAATGAGTATTAATGTGATATTTTAGACATGTGAAGTCCCATCGGGATGACTATGGGTGGAAATAGTTGTTTTGAAATCAAGACGGAGAGTAAGGTGCTTAAGATTCAATAAAATCGACTAAGTTTATGGAAGGTTTGCCTTATATTAGAATTTCGTGAAAATCTGTTGAGCATTTTGAAAAACTTAAAACATGAAAGTTGTATCCCTTTGAAATAGATTTCCAACGATATATTGTGGAGCCCGAAAGAATTTTTGAGCAAAACATTATGTGCATTTTACTGGATAATACGCAATATGCACGCCCAGATGGTCCCGTGCGTGGCCACGTACTTGTGGCAGTGATACTGCCCTACTGCACGTCCAAGTATGCGGTTGGGTCTTCATGTTCTCGGGAGCTCACCCGGGGGGTCATTTTAAAAGCCCTACTTCATCCCTCACACCCCAAAATACAAAAACTTGCTCTAGAAAGGGAAGCTCTCAAGAACCTAACTTATCAATGGTCCCTCCACCATCCAAGGTAAGTTTTAATGGTGATCCTAAGTTTATTTCAATTCTCCAACACCTTAGTAACATGGGTAAACCCTTCAAATCATTAGATATTTGATTGTGACATCAGGTTCGAGAGGCGAAACCCTACAACTCGAATTCAAGAGGATTGAATGTCATAAAGGTAATATCTTCACCCTCTACTTGATTATAGTATTGGATTAATGATTATAGACTCTAGTTCATGAGATATGAGTTGATGGGTTTGATAGAAAAACATGAACGGTTATGGATTTGGGTTGTTGATTGTTGATTATTGGTTAAGGGTATTGTTTATCTTATGGGTGATGAAGAATGATATTGATTATAAGTATTTTGAGATTTTAGAATTTATCTTGGAGGAAGAGAATGTGTTGTTGGGTATAAACATCATTAATGAGCGTTATGAGGATTTACGCCCATAACGTGTTTGATGAAATATCTAAGTGACCAAAACATGAGTATTATTGCTAATATGGAATCCCTTTGACTTGTATTGATGTAGATTAAAGTTGAAAGGGTTGGTGAATGTTGTATTATGCTCAAGAGAATGAAGTTAAGGTATGTGAAGCTAACTCTTTATATTTGGGAATGTTAATGATTCTCCCTACACTACGTTTCTTTTACAACGTTACTAATTGCCTCAGAAATATAGTTAAGCCTAGTTCCTTGAATAGTTGTAGAACTTCTATTCTCTAGCTTAGTAACTCGTTACGACTTCAATTCCGAACGTTATGAGCTCAATGCGTAATCGATATAGACTTGTGTTTGATGCCCTAGAGTCTCAATCTAGATTACTCAGCATGTCATAAACAGTTGAAGCTTCAGTTCTCATAATCGGTTAATGAATACCTATCTCAGTCTAGTTCTATTCAGTATTCCAGTATCATGTAATTCAGTATGATTCAGTATCATGTATTACAGTATGATTCTCAGTTCCTGATTTTACATCCCTGAATGTTTAACACCTATATTGGGCCTGAGGCCGCAGTTAATGCTTTATGCATGTTTGGGCCTGAGCCCACAGTTAATCCTTTATGCATCTTTGGGCCTGAGGCCGCAGTTTATACTTTATGCATCTTTGGGCATGATGTCGTAGTTATGTATACGTATACTTGGGCCGGAGGCCACAGTTTGTGCACATATATATTGGGTCTGAGGCCGCAGTTTATTTATTCAGTTAAACATGTTGTTCATCATTCAGAAGAGGGAGTATTCATATACTTCTTCCTTTGTTCAGTTATTAGTTATCATTTCAGTTCTCAGTTATCAGTTATCATTTCAGTTTTAATTTTCGTAGTTATTATTTCAGTTATCAGTTATCATTTCAGTTTTAATTTTCGTAGTTATTATTTCAGTTATCAGTTATCAGCTCAGTTTCAGTTTCAGCATTTATAATTATTTCTTTCAGTTGTTTTACATATCGGTGCAATTCAAATGTACTGACATCCCTTTTTCTCGGGGCCTGCATCTCATGATGCAGGTAATAATTTACTGGTTGACGATTCAGAGCGATAGGACCCTCGTACTAGCTATTTGGTGAGCCCCCGTTCTTTCGGGGAATTACCATTACTTTACAGTCTTTATGTATTTACAGATAGTCAGTGTTTTCAGTACTTCATTAGAGGCTTCATAGACTAGAGTAACAGTTAGACAGAGTCGCTTGCTTTTCATGTTAAGTAATATTGACCACATATATGTTTCAGACCTATATTAGTTTTTTCGCACTTAGATTTATACCATTCATACTTTCAGTGTATCAACATGTGTTAATTTATCTTCCGCTTTCAATATGTTATGATATTACATGTTGATCCAGTCAGCCAGTTGATTCGCTTGGTCACAGTAGTCAGGCACCGGGTGTCATGTTACGTCTAGGCCGAGGTTCGGGGCGTGATATTTTTTATAGAACAAGCGGTTGATAGACAACATCAATCAAGGTAAAACGGTAGTCACAGCCTGTGCTATAATGCACAAAAGCCCTCCACCCCTTCAAAAAGTAAAGAACTCGTGGTGCCTGTTTGTGACACAATCAGACACATAGAGCTTGCTTTTCGTGATTAGCATGAAATATATGGCGGACTCAATTCATCAGGAACTAGAAGGACGACACCTCTCTCATAAAAAAGGAAAATAAAAGAGGAGAGAATCCTGTCTTTATTTTAACTACCCTAAGCTAGAGGATTTGATGGACCACCCAGAGGTTGGAAGAAGATTCTTGCCTAATAAACACTGTCGCACAAAATGAAGCAGAGGAAATATTTAACAGATTGACATGATCACAACTTTTATTTATAATGCTTTTAACTGGAATTAACACACTTGAGAAATTAAACACAAAACATGAGCAAATACAACATTATTACAAAGGTACTAAGGTAGAAACTCTACCACCATTAGTTTTTCAGACAAGAACTAATTAAAATTCCGGCCGTTGGAATTGAAACCCACTGACCGTGAAAGCTCCGTCAACAACTATAACCTGTACAGTAATGTTGGAAGCAGCAGGAAGACAAAGATAAGCCACCAGAGATGAAACTTCTTCAACTTCTCTTGGTCTCTTAAGAGGAGTTCTTGATATTAATCCGTCTAAAAATGTTTTATCCTTGACCAACTTTTAATAAAGCCATCAAATTCATCATTGATTCAAAATCAGGTTATCATGCATTTTATTATTTAAAATAATACTATTAGGTCATTTGAAAAGTAATTACACGAATACCTTTTTGAATTATTAACCTTCAAAATAAGTCAAATAATCTTCTATAAATAAAAGGCAGCCCGATGCAAAAGCATCATGCGTTCACGTAGGGTTCGGGGAAGTCCGCACCCTAAGGGGGTGTGATGTAGGCAGCCTACCCTGATGCAAGCATCAATGGCTGATTTCACTGCTCGAACTTGCGACCTATGGGTCATACAGACACAACTTTAACGTCGCTCCAAGACTCCCCTTCTATAACGTGTTAAATTGGAGAGATGGTGTAAAAGTTTCATTACACTGGTAACAGATATAAGTTTAAAACTTCTTACGGAGACAATACAAGTTTTTGCACCATCAGTTCATGATGGCCTTATAAAAACAAGAAACTGTCTATAGTAATCTTAAAAGCTGGTTCGACCAGTTTTAATTTTAAGGTTATCAAAATATTCTCTTAATTTAACAAAGTAAAAAGGAAGTTAATAACCTATCACGATTGGCTAAAATACATGGAAAATGTATAAAAAAATTATACAGTGATCAATGTATATAAGTTAAATCCATAGTAAAATGCAGGAGCGTTGAAGCAAGATGAGAGAATATTACATGTTCCACGAGTGGCGTATTTATGAACCAGGGCACAATACCATTAACCCGAACACCATCTTTAGCCCATTCACAAGCCAAATGTTGCGTAAGCTGATTCATTGCCACTGCAATCAGTTAATAAGAAGAAATAAAGTTATTCTTTAGTACGGCATTGATTTGTTCAGTGTTTTAAAGGATAGAAATGAGTGGATATCACCTTTTGCTGGTCCGTAAATAGAAGTACCGGACACATGCACAAGACAAGAAATAGAGGAATTGAAAACAATAATTCTAGCTCCAGATGCTTTCAAAAGAGGATGAGCAATTTAACAGAGATGGAATGAAGATTCATAATTTGTAGCAAATATGTGGTCATAATCTTCGGCAGTATATTCTAGGGTGGCCTTGTGAATGTTTGTTCCAACATTATTAATATACAGCAAGAAGATAAACTTGGTTAAAAATTAAATAGTTACAATACTTTAACCAACAATATAATTAATACTTAGGATATAGTTCTCACAAGAATGTTGAGTTTTCCATGGAATGCAGAGGAAACCTTTTCCATGAGTTCAACTCTTTGGTCTCTACAAGTTACATCACATACGGAACCTCTTACTTGAAAGCCTTTGTCTGCCCAGTCTTGCATTGGTTCATTTAGCTCTGACTCTGTCTTCGAACATGTGTAAACGGTTGCACTTAGTTGCGCAAGCTCCTCTACAACTGCATGCCTAAAGAATAACACAATCGCCATATTTTCCGGTGTTTGATTGGTGAGTAATTTCTTTTTTAAAAGTACATCTATGTACAACAATAATAACAAATCCAACAAGTGGGGTTAGGAGAAGGTAGTGAGTACACAGCTTTATCCCTACCTTTAAGCAGGTAGAGATGTTGTTTTCAATAGATTATCGGCTCAAAGGTAACATGTATAATCATAATAGTATAGAGGAAGACATGCAGTAGTGTAAAATTCCTAAAAGAGAAGTAGTAGCAACAATAAGATAATAGTAAAACCGAATTATAAACAACAAGATATGGAAATACAGAATAATACTACCATTATTGGTACGAAAGGAAAGACTCTCAACTTCTTACTAACTTTCTACCTTAATTCTTGACTGCTTACCATTATTGGTAAGCTGAAGATATGTTATGTTCTGTATAATCAACTCTTCCCAATACTTTTTCGGTCTAGCTCTACCTCTCCTCATACTCACAATTGTTAATCTCTTACACCTCCCAATTGGGACATTCAGGCATTTCCTTTGTTAATGATATTGTCTAATTAGTGTTAATTGGAACAACTAATAAGAAGTTAAAAGTATCTCTGCGTAAGTAAGGTAAGTCGTTTGTCATTTTTGAAAAATCTCGCAATTAAACATCAAAAAATGACTTTATAAAAAAAATATTTGCTTGAAAAAGATTCCATCAATACCAAACACTACAATAGAAGAAAATTTATAATATAACTCACCCAATTCCAGAAGTGCCACCAGTGACAAGAGCAGTCAAACCAGTAAGAGACCATCTCTTGGCAAATCCTCCAATCTTCGCCATTGAGTAATTTCTTTGCTGCACGATTATATTGTTCAAGAAAGATTTTGCGGTATATATATAATTGTTTTCAATAAAGAATTAGAGTATTTACTATTTTTATCTCTAACATCTTTAATTCCCTAATAGCTCCCATTTGTTTTATTTTATTTCCTTTTTTGGTTAGTTTCACGTCCTACTTAGTATAGTTGTTAAAGATAAGCAAACAATACTTACAAGCTTTGAAATTTAATAGAAATTTCCAGAAAACTTGTAGAATCCATAGTCAATAGGAGTGTTTTAATCTGGCAGCTAGTTCTTTTTAGTTAGGTCGATAAGACACTTATAGTTTGCACATGAATGTGTGCCGAATTCCTCATCTTCACGAAATTTTATGTATTGATGAATGATGGGGTCCATACTGATTAAAAGAACAGAAAAAAATAAAAAGGATGTCAGATAACCAAACCAAGTTTTGGTCAGACTTGGTTTTGATATCAATTTTTCAAGTTGTACTAACAAGTTGCAACGAGACAAGCCTTCTGATTGGCTGAGCTTCATTCAGTTGAGTGATCAGTGGTCCCTAGAGTATTTTATTTGGGATTATAGAGCGTAAAATTCCTTATTATAGTAGATTATTTTGCTCCTCTCGGTTCGATAGTTTTTTTCCTTATTCAAAAGGGTTTTTCACATTAAATTTTTGTATCTTTGTTGTTCTTTTTATTCTTGTTAATTATTGTATTTCACTACTATGTTATTATCAGGGACGGCTCAACACATCTTATGGCCTAAGGCGAAATCATATTGAGAGACCCATAAAATTTAATTTATTAAATTTTAACACTAGCAACAAAATTTGCTTTCTAAACAACAAATTAATCATTTAAGATAAACAATAGCGAATTTCAAAAAAGAAAAGCAGGGGGGAGGAGAGGGGGAGGGGGAAGAGCACAAAGAATAAAGTAGTGGATTATCAGATGTTGAGGTCTAGAACTCAAAGTAAAATTTTTTGATTTTGCTATCATCACAATCAAGAAAAAGAAATAAACGTACATAACGTAATAACTTAAGTTTTGAGCATTTACTGTATAAAAAATATTTACTCATTCCGATCAATTTAAACGATAATTGTAATTCATATATTAATTAGTAACATTTATTGGTGAATATCTAAAATTAATTATAAATAACCTATTATAATATGTTTAGTTACACTAAAAAAAAAATAGATACGAATGCTTTTGTGTTCATGCAGTTTCAAAAAAGATTGTAAAATAAATTCATTATGTTGTCGATATATATCTTAATTCCTATATGAAAAGGATAAAATTAAAAGTGAAAAGTGAAGCAAATATACTAATTAATGAGTGGGAAAATAATCATAATTTATAAACTTGTTGGTATAAAATAACCCCAATCAAATAACAAAAAAATATACTATAACACTTTTCCTTATAATAATTATTTATATAAATTCTATAGTATATAGTAGTCATAATAATAAGAGATTAAGTAAATTTGGGGCCTTCAAATTTTGGGGGCCTAAGGCAATGGCTTCACTGGCCAAGCCTTTAGAGCCGCCCCAGGTTATTATTTCGCTGCTACCGTAAATATTATTTTCTATGGAGGATTTATTCCCCACAACTAATATGTACTTGATCAGACACTATTTAAAAATAACTCTTATACTCAGAAACAGACTGTTCCAAATGTTCATGAAAATTCTTGCTCATGTTGGACCATTTATATCTATGTACATCAGGATTCCAATTCATAGAACTCTCGGTTCAAGAAATAAAAAATAAGAGATCCGAACTATTTCTTCTGAATCTTTTTCAAATTCAAAAAATATTGGTTGGACGAATATTTCATTATGGTATTCAAACATCTGAACCTATTCAAAATCATGTTTAACGCGTGTAGCACAAATGCAATCATTTATTTGCATGAATCTGCTATTATGGACATGGTCATCACGGTGGAGATTCATACAGGTATTTGCCAAAAGGCTTTTCCTTTTACTTACTTTGGATACCCTATTTTCAATAGTCAAAGGTGAGTGATAAGCTGCAACCGTGAAAGGAAAATCACTTTCAATAAGAGGAAGGACAATCTTGATCAAACATGTGTTGCAAAGCATCCCTATTCATTTGTTGTCTGTAGTAAATCCGCCCGATTATGTGATTGCTCAGATACATCGTATGTTTTCAAGGTTTTTCTGGACTACTTCATGTTGTGATATTTTCAAAATTGGACAAATATCCTTCCAAGTGTGTTTACCCGAAAAACATATAGAGTTGAATTTGTACGTAGTTCTAAGGGTATGTTGTATAACTTGACACAAATCGTAAGAATAAATAGAAATATCAAATATTGACGATAAAGAATGAAAAATAAGCAAAGTTGAAAAGATGATGATTTATGAATTAAGCAAGATGGATCAATCTATAAAGCTAAAAAGGACAATTCCTCAGTATGGGAGTGTATGATATCTGAGTTACAATGTATGCAAAACTCGATCCTTTTACAGAAATATAGTCATCCCTTTTATAGTAGGGGATCCTACTTTAGATATAATTAAATATACATAGTGGGGAACCTAAGATAAATCAACTTTTTCCTAATTCCCATCGAGATTCTCTCCCTTAGTGCGGCTGCAATGGCTCTTTTCTATGAGCTCGATCTTGATCGGACTCAGCATTGGTCGGTATTGGTCGGTTTCCAGTTTTAGAGCTCGATGCGGGTTTGAGGTTGATGCCGACTCGGGGTCCGGTAATGACTTGGGCTCGGTATCGGTTGGCCTCTGGCCCTTAATCTTGATTCCATCACATCTCATCATAGTTCGATTAGGACCCGAGTTCGATAATGACTTCAAACTCGATATTTGACCTGTACCTGAAATTTAAAGCTCGTTTGTGCCATATTTGGATCCCAACTCGATATTATGAAGACTTTTTTCGGTCCATTATGATCCCATCTCGATCAGTCATATGAAGGCTGAAATCAGTTTCGACCGTATACAGATAGTCCCCATATTTCTCGGGAAGGATGTGGCGAGAAACGATATGATTTCCCAACGGCTCGATTGGATATGCACTGACATTTGCATCGAGCCTGACCATGACGTACGTGATAGCTGTCCCATCGGATTAGTTTACCAAGGCATTTAATATGTGTCAGACGGTGGTCGGCCACCGCTGAAATTGAACTGCCATTGCTCAATCTATAAATAGCCCCTCCTTTTACCATTTATCACTTTTACATCTTCAATCTCCAAATTTTTCAAGTTCTTCTTCTGAGTTCATCTGTAAATCTGTGATTTTTTACCGCAAAATCTTTCTTCAAAAACACCAAATCTTTGTTACCTCCTTCTATTTTTGATCTTTAAATCCAAAATGGCGAAAACATAAAAAACTATTCCTCAAAAAGAAAAAGTTTCTTCTTCACAGTCTGCTGCCGACGAAACACCGGTGGAGCCATGGCCTGAGGAGTGCGTTCCTGGGGCGTGTGTTCTTACCTCTAATTTTAAGTTCGACAAAGGCTCGTCGGTTCCCGGCCAATGTGAGCCAGTATCGAGGTATATGTGTTCGATAACCGAGGGGTACCTCGAACAGATAAGAAAAGATTGTAATTTGGGAGAACAAAGAAGTAGTAATCCCGACTCCTGAAGAAGATATCACCATCCACGTGAAAGGGTTTTTAAGCATGTATACTTACCCTTTCACGTTAGGTCCTCTCGACCCTGTTATTATTGATTTTAGCCGTCAATACCAAATAACCCTAGGCCAGATCCATCCTTTTTCTTGGCGGATCGTTATTTTAATTCGTTTCTTCGTGAACAAAATCGAGGGAATGCCTTTCACCCCGACCATCTCATTCGATTGTACTACCCTCACCTCTTTCGAGGTGGGTTAATAAAACTTTAGTGCCGGGCTACCAAGGTTCTGTTCTCGAGCATAGACGAGGACAAGGATCGAGGCTGGATAGGCAGGTTCGTTCGAGTGAAGACTTCGGACTTGATTCCGTCTGAAAATATGCCATTTTTCGAGGAGTGGAACATGAAGCGTAAGTGTAATCATGCTGTTATCTCCTACTGTTTTGCCCCTTCATTTCTTCCTCACTGATATCCCCCTTTTGTGATGCAGCAGTTTCTTGGATGCCCGGTGGAGTTCCTAACCTCAAGAACTGGGTACGGGGTATAGCTTTGACCTCTACATATGTCGAGTGCTCATGGCGTGATTGATCAAAGGGCCGATGGGAGGCCAAAAATCATGGTAAGCCTCTTTCTCGTATCTTTGGTAATTTGAATGAGATGCTCTCCATATACTTAAATCAATTTTCTTGTATGTAGGCCTGGGCAAATATGCGATTTTGAGCCCCCCGTCCGTCGAGGAAGAGGCTTCGGCCTCTGTTCCAAAATCGGTGAAGGATAATAAGCCAAAAAGGGCCTCTTCTTCCGAAGATCCAAAACCGAAGACAAGGATGGCTCGTAAGCCGAGGAAGAATACCATCCCTTTGACCATAGAATCAGTTCTGCATCTAAGGGATGAAGACATAGAAGAAGAAGAAAATGACGGGTCCGTGTTGGTAGCCCGAGTGAAGAAAACCATCGATGCCCCAAAGGCAGCTGAATCGATGGTGATTTATAAAGCTCCACCTCGGACTGAGGAGATATCGGAGGAAGGTTTGGGCAGTGTCCCCGAATCGTTAGAGATCGAGGATTCTTCCCACCGAAGTCAACAAATGGTGGGTATATCAGAAGGGGTCGGTCCTGAAGCTCTCCAAACTGAGGATAACGCCCCAAGCAAGTCGCTTGGGGCAATAGTAATCGGAGACTCGCCCACTCTCCCTGCCTTTTTCGAAGGGGAGATTCGGGAAGCCCATGATTTGGGGGCCCTCGAGATAAACTTGTTTTATGAAGTGGAGGACCCCTTCTGTGATTTGTTTACTTGAGTCAAGGATGTTGCTGGCCCTAGTGATGTGTCGGGATTTTTCTGTGAAGTGCAGCAAGCTCTGAATCGGGTAAGCTTTAACTCACTTCGTTGATATTACGTTTATGTTTGCTATTCTTCTCTAACTTCTTTTCTTCTTTCTTACGTATGCCACAACAGTTCATTGAGAAGTATGTTCTCGATCTCGAGCTGAGCTGCGTCGGTACGAGGCCAACCTCTGACGGGTCACAGAGGAGAGGAACGCCCATAGACACCTCTTCGGGCAAAGGGAAGAAGAAATCAAAGACCTCCGAGCCGAGTTGGACAAGGCTCATCAAGACCAGACCGACCTGACCGAGCAGGTAATAATAATCTTAAAATCTCATGGGCTCGATGATGGAACGGTGGCTAATATTTCGATCTCACAGCTGCAGCAGAAGCTTTAGGTGATTGGGAAGCTTCGTGAGGAGGTCGATATGATAAGGGCAGAGTCCTTGGGATGGAAAGATGGTATGGACCATCTTGCCGCAGAAAAAGAAACTACTCGAGCCCAATTATCATCGGCCAAAAATCAACTTCAAGGCATGAAGGAGAAAATCTTGGTTCAATCAAGAAAAATAGAGGATCTTGAGGCTCGATTGGCCTCCGAACTTGCGAAGGAAAAATCCGACGCCGAAAAAGCAAAGGCTAATGCGGATGCATTCGTGGCCGTCTATCGGGCCGATGCTGAAGCTTCTCAGGTACATGCAAGAGACTCAGCCGAGACTACTAACACTCGAGCACATTGGGTTGCTGAACTTGCTAAATATCGATCTCGGAGGGAGACCCTCGAGGAGATCCATGCTCGAGGTTTCGATCTCACCGAAGAGATAAAAAGGGCTAAAGAGCTCAAAGCCGATGCTAAAGCCTTGGCTTCTGATGATGATGATGATGATGATGATGATGGGAGCAAGAGTGGGTCCGAGAGTGGGGAGGGGCCCGATGGAGAAGAAAATGCCCCTGGAGATAACCAAGAAATTTAGCCCTTAGTTTCCATTTTGGTTTTTGTGTAGGGTCCTGTTCGGACGTTGTAAACATTCTTGTATATATATATATATATATATAAAGATCTTTTCTTTTCCCGACTTGCCTATGTTTTATTCTCTGCCTTGTGAATATTTTGTTTCATTCAT